ATGTCAATCATTAAACATTTTTAAAATAATATTTTTATATATAAAAAAACAGTTTGATTCGGTCTTTCTTACTTAAATCGTCTTCTCAATATTTGAAAAGATTTAAAGTTTGAACCTCTCATTGCCCGTTAGTACAAAAATAAAATAAAATTAGTCTTCTTTAATCAGGTCAGTATGCTTGTGCCTTCAAAATGAATATTGAATACCCTTATCACTTGACATTAATTAGCAAGTCAACTACCTTTCTTTTGTAGCAAGTCCTTACCTAAATAGATTAATTAGTGGGTCTTCTTTGTCAACTAAGTGCTCATTTGACATTACTTATTTGGGGTGATAAGTGATTTTTTTAAAAATTTTGCAAAGTTCAGCCCGTTTGATAAACTATGAGAAAATCACTTATTGTTAAAAATTATTGTGAGAAAAAGCTATAAGGGAAATCAACTAATTAGATGCTTTCATTTTCTGATTATGTGATAATCAGTTTCGAAGAGGCGTTAGGTTTAATGATTATGCGGGAATTCGTACCAACAACACTTTTAACAAAAAGTTTACTAAACGCCAAACTGCTTTCTCTCACAACAAATCTGATAGCGATTATTTTCACAACATAGCAATACCAAACTGGCCCTAAATCGATTGAAACTGTCTTAAGTACCCATCTCAAGTGGATCAATTATCTGGCTCTTCATTCAATAAGTTCCAAATCAACACAAAATTGGACAATTAAGAATTTTTTTTTATAAAGAGTGCTGCTATTTCCACATTCCTGTCATATTTCCTTACCTACCTTATCTTCCCACTAGGCTTGTAAAATGAGTCAGGCTGGGCCAGCCCAACCCTAAGATGAGTGAGCCCAAGCCCAACTTTATAACGGGCTTTTTTGGCCCTAAGAAGAGAGCAGGCCTGGCCAGGCTAGTCCTATATAAAATATGCTAAGCCCAAGCCCTACCCACAGGCTCAACAATTTCGAGCTTTTGGTTCTGGCCTATACGCACATGCCATTTTTTGAAAAATTATAATATTTAAAGAGTTTAAATACCAATTAAGGCATTTACCAAAAATCTCACGTCAAATTGGCAAAAATCTCAACGAAAGAAGCCCAACTACACATGACATTATAGGCCCACATGCATAAGTAAGCTAGCCTTAAAGTAGAGGTGTTAAACGGGCCACGCTGGGCCTGTCCGTCCCATTTAAACTCATGTTTTTAACATTTTCGTGTCATACCGAGCCAGTCTATTTAATTTATCGGGTCATGCCGTGTCAGTCCATTTAATAAAGTCATTGATCCCAGCCCGACCCAAAGCCCATGTCTATATTGAAATGGGACGGGCCGGGCTCGTAGTGTGCTCTTGCTCGTGCTCGTGCCATACTCTGGCCCAAGAAACAACCCATTTCATTTCAATTTTTTTCACTTGATTTTTTTTCCACTAAATAATTCAAATTATAAACATTAAAAATATAATTAGAGACAAGAAATGATGAACTATTTGAAAACATTAATCAATCAAACATCCAAACAATATGAAAGAACGGAGGACAAAAAATGTCTAACTCCACAAAGTTCACTTCAACTTTTCATCTTTAAACAACTTATTATTTTATATATGAAGAAATTTATTGCTTATATTATGAGAGAAGCGTATATGTCATATATACTTATTAGATATCAAGTCCAATGTTGTTTAATTAATTTTTAGTTGATATGTTTAATTAATTAAGGACCCAAGTAATTTTCCTAAAATGAAAAACATCAAATATATCCTTATGATTATGAAAAATAAAAAAGAAACCATATAAACAAAGACATTTTATGTCAAATTTTTGCATCTTGACTGTTGAGGAAAAAAAAAATTAAGTGGGCCGGGCTTGGGCCATGATTGAAACGGACTTGGGCTTGGACTGTGCTTAAAGCAGGCTTAGGCCAAGCCCGACCCATGTCTGGCCTTGGGCCTGCCTGGTCCATTAGATCTCATTTTTTATCCCGCCCCGGTCCAAGTTTTCGTACCGTGCCAAACACAACCCATTAATATTCGTGCTCATACCGTACTGTGCCTCATTTAAACGGACTAGGCTCGTGCCATGCTGGGCTGGCACGTCTCATTTGACACCTCTACCTTAAAGTCTCTATGAAGCTTTGATGGGGTGGGTGAAGATATTTATAAAGCACAAGATGTGGATAGACACCACTCTTATAAAACCCCAAAAGCCAAAGCAAGACCTTTCATAAGATGGTTCATATGATGCATGACTCTTTGCATTGGATTGTCGTACCACATCATTACTGGAATCTCATCTTGACTCAATGATTATCTTTCCTTGTAGTTTGTCTTTATTTATATGCTCTTGTACACTTCTTATGCATGTGTACGCATGTGTATACTTCTTATGCATATATGTATGTGTGTTATATATATACATATACATATACATTATAACCAAAAATGGAGAGACACATATATAGAATACATAAATATACATGCATTTTTGTTATATTCAAACAAGCATATTAGCAAAAACCGGGTCGGGTTTGAGCTTTTGGAGGGCTTAAAAACATAGCCCGAGTCCTACCCATTAGACCTCGGGCCAGGCTAAACTCGTCCATTGCTTTGGGTTGGGTAAGCCCATAATTTCAAAATTCGGGTTGGGTTCATGCTAGCCCATCGGGCCTGGGCTTTATTTACAGGCTTACTTTCCACCCACCATATAAATTTGAAAAAAACACAATCATATCTTTCCATCCATCATTATTTCTAAAATACCCATTATTTTTCCACCCATCAAATAAATAATAATATATTATGAATTAATTAATTAATTAAAAATATAAAATATTCAAAAAATAAAAGACTCTTTCTCTCTCTTTTACCCGATCCCACCTCCAACTATGCTCCCTATCTAACTCTTAAAATAAGGAGACCTCTAGGAGCTCCTAAATCTGAGAAGAGAGAAAAGACTCTTAGTGGCTCCCTATAATTAAATGTTGTTTTACTTTAATGCTATTTTAAGTATTTATTTAATGCTAACTATTTTTATTATTATTTTATATGAAGAATGAGCATTTATGCTAAACTCAAAAATAAAATAAAAAAACCATTTATGATTCCCTAAACTAGAGAGAATAGTTGGAGTTGAAATTTTATAAGGAGCTCCTATAATAGCTTTCTAGTGTTTTTAGCTAAATTTTAATTAAAAAATAAGATCATTTGGTACCAAATTTTCATCAATTTTATTCGCAGCAAAAATAAAAATGTGTTGAATATTTGATCTAATTATCCCATGTTTTAGACTTTATATGGGCAATGATCACGAACGATACCATTAGTGATCAGAGTGGACAAAGTCATTGCATCCTTAAACGCGGTTTTGCTTAAGAAAGCAACCAAATTCTATAATTGTTAAAGTTCCATCTCGAAATTAATATTGTTTTAAAAAAAACAAAATTGAAAAAGAAGAAGAAAAAGTAATAGACGAAAGGAGAGTTTGATGGATGGTGTAGGTTTGATTGCTATGTTTGCACGGCATGTTGACATCATATCATGTGAATGTGAGTGAGGCAGAGCTCAACCCTCTCGACATTTTATTCCCAATTTTCACAGGCATTTTAGTCCTCTCAGTTATGATCCATTTGATAATGGCCAAGGCATTGGGCCAGCAGCAGCCTTTAAATTCATATTCATGAAGTGATGCCAAGAGGCATTACATGTATGGTGCTCTAAATTGTTCTCATAACCACTTTTTCCCTTCTTTATGGCCTTTTTCATTATGTTATCATCTTATAATGTGATTTGATGTTCGAATATCTTTTTTTTTTCTTTTTTTTTACAAGCGATATTGACGGAGAAGTAATAGAATTTAGAATCTCAAAGGTGTGGGTAAATATTTTTAATCACTTGAACTATAAACCCCTTATAAACTGCTAATTCTTTTTTTGAATACCTTATGATGATCATCTTTGTAAAAACAATCAATTTAAATCGGAAATGTCTTAACTTTTATGATTATCTTTGCATGTTAATTGATGATGAATTCTAATTAAAAAATTGTCTTATGGCATTCATTCATTCAGCAGCAACATATTTTATCATATAAAATTTAAACCCAACTAGCCAATCAAAATTTCAACATACAACAACTAGAACCATCACAATTCTCTATGTTATCTTCAAACCGTTACATTACAAAGTCAACATCTCAGAAATCACAAATCAATCTAATTTCCTTTACATAAATTATATCAAATTGTATAAATTTGTAAGAATTGTATTTCAAATTGTAAAACCCGAATCTATATGAGTTTACATGTAGATAACACATGATATATATATATATATATAGAACTCAACCTCTTTCTTAATACTATTTCCAATTCTTTAATGTCGTTGCAAGTCTTAATTCAAGCATCAAATCGAAAATCTTTCATATAGTCAAAAAGAGATTTTAGTTGTGAAATCGAGTCTCTCGACCCATGTAAAAGAGACTCGAAAGGATTTCAGCTTTGACATAATTCACAAGATTTGAAACTTACTTCGAACCCACTGAATAACCTTATCTCAAAACTGAAACCCTAGTGCTCAAAATAATCTGGGACAGACGCAGACAATATTTCGTTTTCCTTATGCCATAAGAAAGATACATTAGCCGAATTCAATGTATTTTCCCCCTCAGCTTTTAGACCAAAAAATATCAGCTGCGCCAGGAGGAAGTATCAAAGCAAAACCCTGCAACCCAACAATAATAGCCACCTTTAAATATCGACCCAACCGAACCACCAATCCCTCCAACCCAACACAACACCAACAGGACCACCGCAGAATTGCCACCTTAAAATAAATAAATATAAAATAAAAAGCGAAAAGCCACGCGCTATCAATAACGGTGCCAAATGCATGATTTTCCGCAACCTTTTTTTACCACTCACAATCATTTCCCCCTTTTTTCTTTACAAAAAGAGATTTTCCAGGCTGTTTCTCGGATAATTCCAATTTTCATAAACTAATTTTAATTTCCCAATCATATAATATTCAATGGTGGATTATTCTAATTTTGTTCCTTTTCGCCGTTGCTTCCCACTTTAATTTATTTTTTTAAATTATTCCTATGACCTTCTCGATAATTCTTCCGTCTTAAGATTCTCGCTTCCCATTCTCTCTCTTCTTCATATTCTTATTATCCCCGTTCTCCTCTTCGCGTTCGCTTCACAAATCTCTCAAACCCCTTCGCAAAACAGGTACATAAATCTCTCTCTCTATCTCCCCCTTTTTTTCGGTTTTTTTTTCTTTTTCTTTTTTACTTTATTTATTTATTTTTAGTTTCCGTTTGGCCGCTGAGAAAATTAAGGACAAAAGAAAAACAGATGAGAGAATCCAGAATCCGTAAATTTCGGTTGCTTTTGTTCCGAGAAATTAGTTTCCAAATACGCGGATCTTCTGGACGGTGATGGTTATTATTATTAGCCGCACGACTATCTGTTTCTCTGAGTCTCGAAACCGGAATTTGGAAATTTTTTTTTTTCTCTTCTGTTTCCTTCCTTTTGTTTCTCGGCATCCAAACAGCGAGCTGAGGGCTTTTTTTAAAAAGGAAAGGAAAATAGTTTGAGATTTTGTGAATTTTATTATAATTATTCTGCCTTCTCGATCTCAGATCATTTTCTTCGTAGATCGATCTCTCTCGGAGAAGCAGAGGACGATCCAATCTGATCGAACCCGATCGGCGAAATCTAAAAGCGAGATTCAATTTCCGATTACGAGATCTCGAAGCGGAGGTTAAATCAGATCAATCCTTTAGCCATGGCAGAAGAGCACCGATGCCAAGCGCCCGAAGGCCTCCGTCTCTGCGCGAACAACTGCGGCTTCTTCGGCAGCCCAGCCACCATGAACCTCTGCTCTAAATGCTACCGGGACTTTTGCCTCAAAGAGCAACAAGAGGCCTCGATCAAATCCACAGTCGAAGCCTCTCTCTCCGCCTCTTCTTCCTCCTCTGTCTCTGCTCCTTCTTCTTCATCGACTTCCTCTTCCTTTTCTCCGGTGATCGAGACCCTCTGTCAGCCTCCTCCTCCGGCGTTGACCTTGCCGGAGGTGGCCGGAGACCTAGTCGGACACAGCGCCGGAGATGTCCGGCCACCTGAGGTGGTTGCGGTGGTCTCGCAGCCGAACCGGTGCACCGTTTGCAGGAAACGGGTCGGGCTGACCGGGTTCAAGTGCAGGTGCGGGACCACATTCTGTGGGGTCCACAGGTACCCGGAGAAGCACGCGTGTTCGTTCGATTTCAAGACGCTTGGGAGAGAGGAGATCGCCAGAAGCAACCCCTTGGTCATTGCCGAGAAGCTCGAGAAGATATGATCAGGACCGTCGGATCCGATTACTCGGACAAATTTGTATCAAAAAGATGAACGGATGGATTTAATTTAAATCAGTTCGAAGAACCGTTGATCTGATCGCGGCCGTTCATCATGCACGTGTGGGAATTAAGTTGATATAAATATTTCTCTCTTCACTGGCTTTTAATTTGATATTAGTTTCTGGGAAATAAGTTATTGTGGGCTTTGCTTTGTAATAGTTGCAAAAAACGAAAAAATTTCTAGTTTGGGAGTGAAATTTCGGGTCCAATTCCTTTGTAGATTCCTCTCTCTTTTACTTTTATCCTCTGTATCTTTATGTTGCCTCTCTCTCTCTCTCTCTCTCTCTCTCTCTCTCTCTGCTTTTGAGTTTCTTTTCTTTGGATGTTTTTTTGTGTTTTTGTTTGTGTGTGTAAAAGTGATACAATTTGCGACAAACCAAACCTGTCACTCACAACGACAAATGACGTCGTATTGTTTGGTTTTGTTACCACAAGCTGTCCCTGTGCAACTCGCTTTGTTTTGATGTCGGCCTGGTTTAAAATGAAAGCTTTATGTGCGGTGGTTTAGCCCAAAATGCAAGGCAGCCCTTCTTATGTTTTAAGTTTAATGGTGTGTGATTTTAGAAATCTTTAGCCAATTTAAATTGGATATTTGAAAATGGGCAATTCACACTACGGTTTGGACGACATTGTTCGGCTCCTTAGAGCAAGTCCAGCAGCACAGCCCAGCCCGAGGGGAGGGGGGAAAAAAACAAAAATCCGTTTCCAGCCATGCAGCCCAGGCCCGGGGGGGGGGGTGG